AGAAGAAGGAGATGGTTAAGAAGAATGTTTATTTGAAAGAAAATGGCATTTCATAGATTCTTAGTCTTCATTGAAGGAAATAGCATAACTGATACAATTGGTAAAGGAATTCTATGATGGAAAGAAGAAGAAGAAGATGTTGTGAAGATCAGACATCAGGGAGCAACAGACGTTGTTTCTTGTGGTTGTACTGTAGCTTTCTCATAGAAAAGCTCAGAAAACATCCAAGTTATAGCTAGAAGGATATATCCTAAGAAGTAAAGAGAGAATACAGTTTTGTGAATGACGAAAGGTCCTCCAATCTTCAATAAACAAGAAACTCAGATAGAATCTTGAGAACCTCCTTACCTGCTTGTAGACGATCAAAGAAAGTTGTCCAAAAGATGAAATGAAGAAAGCCATTCTAATGAAGGGAAGATACCTCATCGTTAACAATTCTAAATTCCTTTCAAAATGAAACAAAATGAAAGTTGCAACCAACCGGAAATTCAAAAAAACGTTTCCGATATTTCATGGGAAAATGAACTTCCTTTGGACGTCAACCATACCTCCCATTTCTGATTACAAATGAAGGAAATCATTAACTGTGCTTGATTAGAATCCTGATGAACATGTTCAGGATCGTTTGGATACTGTAATTCATTGTAATAGAGAAGGAAAAGCTGATTTGAATATTGATTGGAAAATCTTGTCTGAACAAACCAGTTGCATACCCTTATACCCCTTATATGGATTTGTGACATAGGTGAAATCGATTTCTTACTTTGGAAAAGTCATTCCACTGCTCTCTTACTACTTCGCATTAATGAGATTCATCATAGTCTGGGGATATTGGGAGTCATGTTCGTTCACAGATTCGACTCAAGTCTCTTGTTAGTAAAGGAAAGACTTCTTCGCATCTTTGCGGAATTCTCCAATTTCAAAACAGATTTCTAGACTTTGCTTCGAGTGTAGCGAAGGACAGTTCCCTTTCTCAAAAAGTGATTGGTCGCTATATGAGTTTCATTGCTTTTCCCAAATCCAAACTATCGGCTATGAATATCCATGCCAACAAGCTATTCGATGGATATGTCGGCGTATGAATCCCAGACAACCTTTAGAAGCTAATGTGTGCGCTCTCTCT